TAAATAGAATTATAACAAAAATGATCAACAATGAAAAAATGAAAGTGGAGAAAGATAATTTAAAGATTTGGCTCAACTCAACTGCTCCTCCTAGTGTCAATAACTGTTGTTACCTTTCTCTAACATTCCTAAACAACTGGTAAAGAAACTGAAAGCTCGATCTTACTTTGTAATATATTATTATTTTAGCAAATTTCAGATCAACTTAGAATAAGGTAGAGTAGAAAACAGGGGCCATCGGTTTCTTGAGAAGGCATTGATTTAAATCTTAACGATAAGCAATTAAATATGGCAATAAAAATTCAGTAGAGAACCACCAACATAAATATATGAAGTGAAATTTGTTATTCCTCCAAATTTTATTTTAAATACATTTTATGCACATATGGCACAACTATCTAGCAAGTAATCTTTAAAATATGTATTAGAAGTTAATCATCAAATTAAATAAAATATTCTAATGAAAATTCAAGAACACTATGTTAGGGTTTGTGACTCTGCTGATAATTTTAAATATACACAGGTGAATGCTTTCTTCTCTATTTTTGCATCTTCATAAAGGTAGCTTCATTGTTAAAAATCTGTGTTTATTCCAGATTTTAAAGCATTTTTTTTAATTCTTAGAAGAAATCCAGTGGAACTTAACTAACAGGAAGGATTATAAGGAGAACTAGAGCATGTGGGAAGAGCGAGCAGGACAAGGCTGGCCTACGCCTATGCGAGTCTGTGGGCAGGCTCTGCTCTATCAGCTACCAGCTGTGTTTTCAAGTCTTGTCTTCTGTGACTTTGGTGGTTTATCCTTAGTTCTCTTTTTGCTACTTTCAAACCTCCCAAAAATTGTTCAGCTGTTAAAAAGTTCCAAAATAAGCAAATGTGTTCCTGGAATCCGACCCTTAACTTTGCTGGAGAACATATACTAAGGCTTCTTCTGCAGCCAAAATAATAAAAGATCTGTTAAGTGGCTGAAATTCTTGGTTGATTGCACATACATGCCAATGTCAGACAACTATAAATAGAGAGATTTGAAAGAAAAATAGGGAGAGTCTTTATAACTCCAATGCAATAAAGTGGAATGTTTTGAAGGCAGTCAGGAAACAGTACATGCATTTATAAAATTAAGATTTGTGTCCCTTCAGCCCCAAATCCCCTTGGAGCAGGAAGAGCCCACCCAGATCATGCACTTCCAGTATAAGGGAATAAACCAACTTTCTTTTCTTTATTGATGTATATTTATTATTCCCAATCCTATAATTAAGATTTCTTCTTTATATTATCCTTTTTGAGTTTAGATAGCTGCTAGGTCTTTTGATATTTTTCTCCCATCGGTGCTTTGTTTGCCCAGAATACTAAAAAAATCCTTCAAAGGATAAAATTATGCCCATGGTTACTGGTGTAAATGAAGTCAGCAGGGAGTTGTATGGGTGTTACCTAGGGCAGAGTTGGCCCCCAAATAATCTGGGTCACATGTTACAGCCGTTCAAAGAGACTTGAGGATTCATTTCTCAAGAAATCCTTATTCTCCCAGGCAGGTGAACATACCCACTGGCTTCAATAGCTGAGTTAATAAATATTTTTAAAGACATTGTTACTTAATTTTGAATAGTGACTTACTTCTTTATGTTAACCTACCCATCTGTTATTAACCCATCTAAATTGAATTCAAATTAGTTCTTGCAAATGAGTTCACTCTGTTTTGAATCTATTACTGCTGTACAAGAGAATTTATCAGTTGCTTCAGTTTCATAATTGTGCTGTAGACAAGCAAATTTGTTTGTAGCGATGGAGAAAGTCAGCACTTGCTCAATAGGGTTTAAATGCAGTGCTTCGGAATCCAGACCTCACTTTGAAGTGAGAAGTGTTGAAATGTCAATGATGGTTGCAGGGTCACATGTCCATGTGGAGGAAGAATCAATAATCTAATTAATGTCTCTGAATTCTCAGTTCTTTCTAAATTGGATGGGGTTCGAATTGCCTAAGGCTAGAGCTTGTTGGCTCTAAGGATTCAGTATGTAACACTGGGATACCAGAAAGTAATATTTTAATAAAAATTTTTAGTGATGATTTTCTTACTTAGTGTTTTCTGAAATAAATCCTTAAGGCAACAAAAATAAGACTTACAGGGACTTAAAATTAGCATGTTTCTATACAAGTCATGTTGATCATTAAAAAAATTTAGCTCAAGCTCAGCTTTTAATATTTTTACCTAAAATGTTTTCAAAGTAATCTAAGGTGGGACTCAGTTTATTAAATAACTTTGAATTAATTCTCAAAATTTTAAAAAGCATATGTGATGGTAGAGATGAAAAAAAATCATTACAATTCTATCAACTGATTAACAAAAACTTTACATGAACATGTAATAGTGTCTTCAGTATTTTAGACTTTGTTTTTGGTTGAAAAATTAAAAATCCTATATTCATGGAAAATGCAAGTAATAAATATCTCTAAAGTAATTTCTTAAAAAGACACTGTGCTCTTATTTGTAGGCAATAATATTCCTAAGAATTCTTATTTGCCCTCAAAAGTAAAAGCTGATATCTTGAACCTTTTAAAAAAAATTTTAAATATTGAGTACAACACATAATTTTTAAAATTTCTAAAGCAGCACTACCAGGATTGCACATCCTGATTTTTGTCAATGAAATTATCTGTTGTTATTGTGACATAAGCGATACCTCCCAGAGAAAGGAAAGCATCAGGTCTTAGGTGGTTAGATTGAAGTGAAACAACACAAAGTGTGAGTACTACTTCAATTTTCTGTTTCTCTTTGGAAGACATTACATAACCTAGTTTCTCCTGGGATAGAGTAATGTAAATGGACAAAAGAGTCTTCTCTGAGGGATATCCCACTAGTCACTATGGAATGACTGGACAAGAGAGGCCATTCCTTGGGGCATATATGTTAGTGTGCCCATGATGGCAGGTGCTGAATACAACTGCAACAATGAATGACTGGAGGGGCGCATATGAGTTCACAAGAGGGCAGTGGAAGAAATATCAAGCATCATCCATAGACCTCTTCCCCGCCCCCGCCTCGCCCCCAGGGCCCTGTGTGTTGTAGACTATTCTAAGTGGATAAGAATTGTCATATATTTTCATGGGCAATTTGGAGGCCATTCTAGCTTTGTCTGGCTGAAGGAAAGAAAAGGAATTATCTAAAGTGGAGGCTATTTTCTACAAATAATATTATATGTAGACTAGAGGCCCGGTGCACGAATTCGGGGGGTCTCTCGGCCTGTCCTGCAGGATCGGCCGAAACTGGCTCTCCAACATCCTCTGAGGGGTCCTGGATTGCGAGAGGGCGCAGGCCAGGCTGAGGGACCCCACTGATGCACGATCGGGGCTGGGAAAGGACGTGGGAGGTTGGCCAGCCAGGGTGCGACCGTGGGAGGGCTCCAGGGAGTATCCGGCCTGTCTCGCTCAGTCCCACTCAGCTGGACCCCAGCAGCAAGCTAACCTATGGGTCGGAGCGTCTGCTCCCTGGTGGTCAGTGCACATCATAGTGAGCAGTTGAGCGGCCTTAATATATCATTAGCATATTATACTTTGATTGGTTGAACAAATGACAGGATGGCCGGACACTTAGCATATTTGGCTTTTATTATATAGGATGTGCCAAATTTTCCTGTTATTTCAAAGATAGGGTTAGAGATTCAACTGCCTTTATGAATTGTTTCATAAAGTGGTTAGTTGGTTGAACAAAACTTTTCGAGCAATTAGGAGAGAGGGATGTGTTTAATCATTTCATTAAGGTGGGAACTATACACTGTATATATTACCTAATGTATGAAAGCACGTAATTAAAATATGTTAGATTGCTGATCAGTGGTGGTGGTGATGGGGGTAAAGGGGTCAGTAAAAGGTAAGGAACACACACAGAATGCTCCCAGCATAGGGTATGCCTCCCTAAATATTAGGGAGACTCTAGATATTTAGAACTGACTCTTCCAATGACAAATGCAAGGCCATGTGTTAGACAAAAATAATTACACTAGAGTATTCTTCTAAGTATGAATTTAATCAAAATAAATGGCCAGATCTTTCAAGTAAACCACTGCAGAATTTAATGTATAAATTCCATGAGTTCCTCATAATAAGCTGTCCACTGTATCTACTGACAGTATTGATTAAAGACATTGTTATTTAAAAAGGTTCTGTCCTACTTTTTATTTTCATAACTTATGGCATCTATAATTAAAATGTAATGACAGTAAAAAGTGAGGTAATAACACTAAATTCCCCAGAGACAAAATTTTGTTATGAAAAATTATAGTATATTTTATCAAAGGAGTTCTAGTTACCTTTTCCCTAGCATAGTGCTTGAAATGTGATACCCACCATGAGATGGGTGACTCAATTACTCTGCCTTTCAACTTTCAATGATTTACTAACAGCTTGGCTTACAATAAAAACCTTTGAATAACTTGAGTAACCCAGATCTACAGATTTCATCAAATTTTGAAACCAAGAAATAAAACTATTTTAACAAGGTCAGGTGACAGAACAGAAATTAAATAAATGGAGTACATATACTTTGAGTGATGTATGTACTTAGTTTCCCCATAAAGCTTATGGGGGAAATAGGTGAACTGAAAAAACCTGAAAGATCAATTTTATCTAGCTCAACAGTTGTCACCAACCTTATTTAGATGATAAAATCAGTCATTATATTGTACTTAATAAATGCTATTTTTCTGACACTAAAATGTTTCTTGAAATCTAGTTACAAGATTGACCAAATGAATTTTAGGACTTACAACAATGAGGTAAGGCCACATTGCTCTAGGAACACAAACTCGTCTATACAACAGTGTTGGTTCAGTCTGAAGACAGTGGCTGGCACAGTTAGGGCTCAGTAACTGGTTAATGGTTAAATGAATGGATGAATGAATAATGAAAAAAATGTCATGAAAACTTATCAGGAGAGTCTTAAAAATTAAAAGAGAAAGAGAGAGAGAGAGAGAGAGAGAGAGAGAGAGAACAATCTGTAAAAGACTTACTTATTCCAGGCTTGTCTAAGGTGTTTAGAGCTGTACACGGTAAAGCGTTCTGAAACAAAGAAAAATGATAAACAATCTTTGTTGCAAATGTATATATTGTTATACTGTTCAAAAAGTATGTCTAGAAATCAACTTTTAAAAAGATAGTGTTCAACTTAGCCATATTATGCTAGCCATAGTAGGTCTTCACCTTCAAAAACAGGAAGATCTTAACATTTTAAACAATAAAGCATTGTTTAATTTTGACTAGAGTGATCTGTTTCATAATCTGGTTTCGTAGTCATTATTTCTTAGAATAACAAAGTTTTAATTGGGTTTAAAAAATAAATATAACTTCCAAACTATAAGTAGATTTACAGGAGAACATTGATGCAACGGTAAAGTGAGACCTGTTATTTTCTCTATGAAGAGATCTCTGATCAAATATGATACTGTTAGCTCTCCTTTCTTACACTCTAGGACACTCTAGGCCAAACTACCAGTGTCCTATAGTGAATATTTATCATTGAACAACTTTATGTTTTTTCAATTAAAACATAACATTTGTTTTACCAAGTTAAACAGCAAAGTGGCACATAACAGATATTGATAATCTCTCCTGCTCCCGTTGTCTACTTCTGATGATATAGCAATAGTTAATGGCTTCATATGTCTCCACGCAATTCTTATGTTAATAAACACATACCCATTCACTATATACACTATTTTAATTTTTTTAGCTGGATTATACAATAACCATTCTCTTAAAGTTTTTAGGCATTTGCTAATATACACTGGGTAATCCTTCTAATCAAAAAAATAGATGTAACATTGTTATAAAACTCTATGAATATTCCATAGAATAGAAGTACCATAAATTATTTGATCATTCTCAAGCTGATGAAAATTTAGGTGGCTCCCTGTTCCTTCAGCTTAAAAAAACAATGCTTTAGCAAATATCCTTGCACATCTATCTCTATACACTGATGCTTTCATTTCATCTCTGTTTGGTAGATTCCCCAAAATAGTAAAACTGCTTGACAAATTGTATGTACATTTTACATTTAAATAGATGCTGACAGGTCACTTTTCATTCTCCCACAAGCAATGAAAAAATAATGTTTCTTTAGTAGTATGCATCCTGGGATGTAAGAATGATTCAACATATGCAAGTCAAAAATATATATCACTTTAATAGAAAAATATCACATGATTGTCTCAATCAATGCAGAAAAATAATTTGACAAAATTTAACATCCATTCATAACTCTTAATGAATTGGACATAGAAGGAACATACTTCAACACAATAAAGTCCATATATGACAAGCCCACAGCTAATATTATACTTAATGGTGAAAGGTAGAAAGGTAGAAAGCTTTTCCTTTAAGATCAGGAACAAGACAAGGGTGCCACTCTCACCACTCCTATACAACATAGCAGTAACTAGTCAGAGAAATTAGGCAAGAAAATAAGAAAATGGATAGACAGGCAGGCAGACAGACAGACAGACAGATAATTTGGCATGCAAAATGGAAAGAAGCAAAATTGTCTCTGTTTGCAGATGACAATTTTCTTTTTTTAAAATATATTTTTATTGATTTCAGACAGAGGGAAGGGGAAAGAAGGATAGAAACATCAATAATGAGAGAGAAAGAATCATTGATTGGCTGCTTCCTGCATGCTCCACACAAGGGATTGAGCCTGCAACCCAGTATGTGCCCTGACCAAGAATCAAACCATGACCTCCCGGTTCATAGGTCGATGCTCAACCACTGAGCCATGCTGACCAGGCTGCAGTTGACAATTTTCTATACAAAAAATCTTCAAAATTCCACCAAAAAAGTTAGATCTAATAAACAAATTCAGTGAAGTTGCAGAACTCAAAATCAATCTACAAAAATCAGTTGCATTCCCATATACTGATGACCTATCCAAGAAAAAAATAAGGAAAACAATCCTATTTCTAATAACAAAAACAATAAAATACCTGGGAATAAATGTAAATATGGAGCTGAAAGATCTGTATACTGAAAAATATAAGACAGTGATAAAAGAAACTGAAGAAGATACAAATAAATGGAAAGATATTCCATGTTCATAATTGAAAAAATTAATATTGGTAAAATGTTCATATTACCCAAAGTCATTTATCGATTTAATGTGATCCCTGTTAATATTCCAGTGGCATTTTTTTTACAGAAATAGAAAAAATAATCCCAAAATCATATGGAACCAGAAAAGACTCTGAATAGTCAAACAATCGTGAGAAAGAAAAAAGCTGTAGGTATTATACTTCCTGGTTTCAAAGTTATTAGAAAGCTATAGCAATCAAAACAGTATGGTACTGGCATAAAAACAGACACATAGACTAATGAAAGAGAGCAGAGAGCCAAGAAATAAATTTATGCAGATAAAGTCAACTAATATTTGACCAGGAGCCAAAATACTCAATGGAGAAAAGACAGTCTCTTCAATGAACAGTGATAGAAAAACTGGATATACATACGCAAAAAAATTAAAAATAAAAACTGCATACCTACCTTACACTACTTACAAAAATTAACTAAAAAACCCCCAAAGAACTAAAGATTTAAATGTAAGACCTGAAACCATAGGAAAAAACAAACAGACAAACAAAAAAACAGGGAACCTTGCAATGATTTTATGGGTATAATATACAAAGCACAAGCAACAAAAGCAAAATAAACAAGTAGGACTACAAGAAACTAAAGCTCTGCAGAAAAAAAAATCAGCAAAATAAAAGGCAACCCACAAAATGAGATAAAATATTAGAAAACCTCATATCTGGTAAGAGGTCAATCTCAAAATATATAAAAGCTCTTGTAACTCATAGCAAACAAACAAACCCAAATAATCCAATTTTAAAAATGGACAAAGGACCTGAACAAATTTTTTTTCCAAAGAATATACTCAAATGGCCAAGAGGGACAGGGAAAGGTGCTCAACATCACTAATCCTCACGGAAATGCAAATCAAAACCATAATGAGATATCACCTCACTCCTGTTCAAATTGTTATTATCAAGAAGACAAGAGATAAGTGCTGATGAGGATCTTGTACATTCTTGGTGGGAATATAAATTGATGTAGCCCCTATGGAAAATGGTATGAAAGTTCCTCAAAAAATGAAAAATATAACTACCACAGGACCCAACAATTTCATTCAAGCAGGGGTAACTGTCAAATATTTAATAACCTGCAAGGCACAGGCATTGACCAAACAGTACAGAAACTGGCGACTGCTATAATGATGTGCATTCACTGAAGATCGGCTTGACTACAAGCATCATTGATCTAAAGCTATAGGCAAAAGTGCTCACCAACAGAATATCCAATGTCTGAATTATTATCTAGTAGACTGAATTATATAAAATGCAACATAATTCAGCTAGTTGGTGTAGAGCAGAAATTTAAAGGAATATTCTAGGTTTGAGGATTAACCGACAAAGTAAGGAGAAATGGGAAGAATATTTCTTTGAATAAAGGTTTTTTTTTAAAAAAAATTATTATCTAAAGTCTAGCATTTAAAAAGCAAGATATATTTTTAAAATTAATTACATCAAATGTCCTTGTAAAACAAATTTGATCTCCTTAACTTTGTACTCCCCACAAAGCAGTTTTAATAATTTGCTATGATTCTGGGAGCAACAAGAATTCCATTACAGATAAAATTAATACAATCTTACATTTACAAGTAACTTATTATTCTTGGCAATTAATGACTACACATAAATATTACTTCTAAGAATTGCTTCTATTTAGAGCTTGACAGGCTATGCTAATAGAAATTTTTTTTCCGAACTACAATATGTCAATTTTAGCTGTACATAAAAGAGCCAAAATTGGTAATAAAACATGCCATATAAAATATGAAAAAATAAGAAAGAAGTCATTCTACAACCTTCTCTACACGTCACATAAACTCTTCCTTTAACACGTGTCACCTGGGTACCTGCCTGCTGTGCCAGGCGTCGCACTGGGCAATGGGCACACGGCAATGAGGAAGCCCTGGTACCGAAAAGTAAATGCAGAACTACAAGCACAGGATGAAAAGTGCTGCCATGTGGATAGAGACACAGTCTCCAGAGAGCCCGGAGGCACAGCCACTCCCTGCATCTATTTCTCTCCCAAACGAAGACGAGATAAACTCAGACATCTGAAACGAGGAGGATCACCCCGGACCCGGTGTCTTGTATCCAACAGCATCTTTCAGAGCTGCGCTGCTAAAGTCCACCACTTCCAACAGAGTCATTTCTAACATTCTCTGCAAGGAGCGTACATTACATTTACATTGCACTTTAAAAACGATTTCCATCACAAATAAAAAGAATGTTCCATTAGAACAAAAGCAACATCATTCGCCATGTAAGTGCTGAGAACAAAAACAGGTTAACATTAGTGCCCCAAATGAACAACAGGTGCATTTCATAAAATAGCTATTCAACTGCCTAGGAGACAATGTATCACGTTATTCGAGTATTTGCCTATGTGTATTTCACACTGGTCTTCAGTAAGTTTACTCTCTCACTGGGTACTTCAATGCCGGCTTTCTCTTTCCAATTATGTTTAAACTAGCAGTTTAGGATGCTGTGATTTAAAGCATTGGCTAACTCATAGCATAACAGAAGAGTGCAATTAATTTAAACCTGCAGGCTGATTTTTACCTTCTCTTATTGCAGGGACACTGCAGAGGATGGTCACACACAGCAGGGGCCCAGGGAAGAAATCACTTGCTATGCAGAATGATGAGGACGGGGGACAGACAGGAGGCTGGGAAGGTTTGCCCTCACCCTGCCAGCCATGCTTGCACACTGCTAGTCATTGAAATTCCACGGGAAAACAACTGGAGAACAATGCTGCAGATTCTCAAGGCCCCCAGCTTGAAAGAGCTACACCTGAAATGGCCTGCGGCACTCCATGAGAGCTGCCTAGAATTCACAGGAGGATGAAACCTAAATTGGAAATTACTCATCTGCTTATCAGTATGGACTGTATGGTGCAGAATATTTTGTTAATCTCCACATTCCCTTTTCACCAATGTTTTTTTG